TGAAAAGTTTTATGACAAAGTAGGACCTAACAATAATAACCTAATCCACTCATTCATTCCTAGTATATAGAATATATATTATTGTCCTCTCTTAATACTCGTCTCGGTAAACACTTGTATCTTTTTCCCTATTGGATTGACTATCATCGACTCAGTTGGTGTTGTAGTGTAATATATATAGACGTCACCTTCGACAATTATACATTATATTCCATTACAAATTGAATTAATTCAGATGAAGTGTATTCTGTTGGCATTAGTGAAGCTGGTTTTATCACCACAGATATAAAACACATTAACTTCCTGTATTTTGTACTGAATTCAACCAATATTAGAAGCAGTGTGTTAACGTTTGCGTTATATTTATAGTATGAGATGTCAATTCATATCAAACCCATCTTATGTATTACCATACTTCAGAATTCATCTTTTTTTTACCTAAGGCATAGATGACCATAGAGGCATTTGGCACACTTTTTGGGAACTTTTGGTTTGCATTTCGATTCAAGTTGGTATTCGATTTTGGCCTTCGATTTTTTTAATCAAGCTCCACTGATGAGTTTTATATAGCGCGTGTACTTTAACTATATTATCTTAAAATTGTTCAACTACTTTTTTTAATCATAATTCCTCTTTCAAATTTCAAGCATCTTAAAGCGTTATGGAATATCGTTGTCCACGGGTACATTCCTATTGTAACCACAAACCCATCCTCTTTTCGTCGATTATGAAATCATCCAATCAGACTTATCACCGGATTTTTACTTACCTGAGCAAAACCACAGATGCAACATGTGGAGCAGGAATTGCTTACTCTTCCGTACCACCTAAGTCCCAAGCCCTTATTTTTATAAGGTTCGTGTTGATTGTTCTTTAGTTTTCTATGTGGCGTATTGTGTACTTGTCGTTTCGTCGTTTTTCCTTTTTCCCCATGACGTTGTAAGTTCTCATAGACACTTATGTTTTGAGTGTGTCCTAACGTATCTTCGGTCTCTCTTTTTTACAAACAGATGGTGCGAATAGAACATTTTATAAAAATTAGAATAATAAAAATATCCAACTAAAAGCTAGTTAAATGTACTTATCAGTAAATTAAAACCATACTAAATATTACACATATGTACTGTCACAGTACTACAATCTATCGATACCTATAGTTTGGCATTGCACAAGGTCATGTTTTTCTCTGACTGTAAATGTCGCCTTTACACTAAATCCATTGGATGTTGGATGTGTACTGATTGATATTTTCGTCTTATATACATGATCTTTTTATTAATTGTTATTGGCTTTGAAATAGCTGTCAGTAATTGCGAGTACTTTCAGATCTGTACTTAGTGTCTTTTTGTTGTGGGGATGTGATTGTATCCGTCCACGTCCACTCTGTGTTTTTGTTAAATATATTTCTATTTGTATCCATCTGATGAGTTAAGCCTTTTTCAACTGATTTTTTTAAGTTGTTCTTATGTTGTACTGTTACACCACTGTCCCAGGTTAGGGGAGGGTTTGTGCTCACAAACATGTTTAACCCCGCCACATTCTTTATGTGCCTGTCCTAAGTCAGGAGCCTGTAGCTCGTTGGTTTTCGTTGGTTCATGTCTGTCATATTTGTTTTTCGTAAATTGTTTTGTTACAAATTAGGCCGTTAGTTTTCTCAATTGAATTGTTTCATATTTTTCATCTTTCACGTGATGTATGATGTTCTGTATAGACTTATTTATGGAGTGTACAATTCTCAGTTGGTTCGATATGTGCATGTTTGAAGTATCGTCGCTGACGGCCTGACATTGGCGAAAAACACTATTACGTTTAGAGACTGAAAAAAAAACCACTTTGTTTCAAAACATATTTTCTTAATTCTGCGTTCAATGGCGCACAATCTAAAAACGTTATCAATTATTTAGTCTCTTATCATTAATGTATAATGTTGAATGAATCATGTATTAAATCGTCATTTACTTGTACAAACTATCTGTATGAACTAAGATTTCCGTTGAAGATGTAATTAGTGACTGTTTTAGTCTCGCGTCACTCATTTGTAAGGTCTATTACTTCTGATTTCTTTTCATATAATTGAATTAACGTTACGTTAAAAATACGACGTAAATAAGTACATTCATGGATGGATCGAGGTTTAATGTCGAGTTAAGTAAATTCAGATAAACATCATATGAATAAATAAAGTATAAACATATGAATAATGGAAATACCCCAAATCCCCCTCAATATATAGAATTTAAAACCAAATAGTATTTCATATATGTCCGTTGATATTTGCGACATAACGAAACATCTATATACGTCATTGACTAATATAAAATATCATGCCGCGATAGCAATTATATTCTCTGTTGTAGATTTCTATCCATAATTGAACCTTTCATCCCATCCTACTATTAACAATTATACATCACATTTGCTTCCTTATTTAATAAATTCATGAGATAAAAGTTTCTGTTGTGTAAGTTTTAGTTGGACTCTAGCATCAAAGTTATGAATAGTGCAAACTCGATGTTAATATCTTATTATTGTTATATTTGTAATCTTCAAATAAAAGTTTTTTTTGTTATACATTATGACTGTTTATTGATCAAGCATATCTCAAATTAGAAGCACTTTTAAATCATGAACGTCATCACTATTTTCAAGAGGAGTGAGTAGCAATGCAATTACTGCTGATCTCTATAAATTCGTGTTAGTTATAAAGATTTCCGTACTATGTACATAAATACAAACTAGAAGATATATTTTGTGGGAAGAGCAGCATGGTTTCGAATTCCTTATTTCAACAATAAAAGATTCGACACAAGCAAACTTTTGGTTTGATTACTGTTTCATTGACGTATAACCCTATGATCGTATTAACACATTGCTCATCGTTGAACGCGTATAGTAACCTATATTTGTTAACTTCTACGTCATTTGGTCTCTGGTAGAGAGTCCCATTGTCATACCACATCTTCTTATTTGTATATTCTATGCATTGAAGACCAAAAAAGGTTGACTGCCGGAGCATAGTGTTTCGCATGCAGACTGTAAAAAGTACAGAACTATTCAAGTTTTAACTAGTTGCAGCCATCAGCCTTCAATAAAAAAAAAAATACCGAACTCCAAGGAAAATTTAAAACGGAAAGTCTTTTATCAAATGGAAAAATCAAAAGCTCAAACATATCAAACGAATGAAAAAGAACTGTCATATTTCTGACTTGGTAAAAACATTTTCTTTTGTAGAAAATTGTGGATTAAACCTGGTTTTAAAGTCTAGTTCAACGTCTCGTTTTTTTTTATAAACATTATATAAAATTTGATCTATGTTTTTATCATATGTTTTGTTATTTCATTTAGCGAAAGATAGACAAAATAATATGAATAATTAAACTAAACAAAACTAGTGGAATCAAGTCACAATATGACTATAAAAACACAGATCAAAAACCTTTAAGAATAAACAGAAACCTCTTACAAAGATCCTTGGTGGAAGGTCCTATGCGATGTGGCTTGGTTCGACTAGTTTTTTGTTTGTTTTAAGTTTTGTGTCTATCATTGTATTACCCTTCTGTTGTTTTGTATAAATTGTATAAATAAAAATAAATGTCAAAAATGCTATAATGCAGTTAATGATACTGCGTTATAATCCATATTATATAATATAATGCGAATGATGTACTCTATAACTGTGAAGTGACAAATGAACTGCCTCGATAATATATTGACATAAAATCAGAATACTCCTGTGGAATAAATTGCTGTTTATTTTATTTCATTTTAATTGAAATAAATTAAGATATACAGCTTCAGAGTATAGATATTAATAAATGGACTGTCATCACGTGACTTGCGCATTAAAGTGATTGATTCCCACTGTAAAGTGTTTACTCTAGACTGCACGCAACACACAAATTCAAAACTATAATTATGAACACTCTAATATGACAACTATTATCATACGACGTGAAAAAACAATTTTAGCGCAGACAACTTATTCCGACGAAATAGAGAATAAAGATTGAAAATCTTGATTTATATTATAGATGGACCTTAAAAATCGTAAATTAAAATTCACACTTGTGGAGAAAATGATGAAAACTTTAAGTGCGTTCCGTTTTTGTGTGTTTGTTATGATTTACTTTATAACTAAGCTACGCATTTTTCTGCACAAACTCTTAATGCATGCAATTATAATTTGATGTATACTTGTTCGTATTTGATCTAGATGGGTTTCAATTGCTTTTCTGGCATACGTTATAAAATTCATCGTCTCTCTCATATCTTGACTTGCATCTAGAAATTGACAATGAGGGTCGGTTGAAAACAAAACATTACGAAAAAAATGATGATTTCAGCTTCCCAATTCATATGGGTTGCTGCTCACAAGGTAGCTATTAAACCAAAGTTCCAAGTGGTGAAGTTGAAATCATCCCTTTGTTAATTTTACGGACGCCATCACGAGTTGGTTGACTGTTATGGAATATTTGTTTCACAGATGACAACGGAAATGTTCCAATTATCATAACTACAATCCCGTCCCCTTTTTCCCGAATGTGACCTAAGGAATTAGACTTATCACCGTATGTGTACTAACATGAGCAACACGATGAATGTCACATGTGGAGCAGGATCTTCTCACCCTTCCGGAGCACCTGAGATCACCCCCAGTTTTTGGTGGGGTTCGTGTTGCTTAGTTTTTAGTTTTCTATGTTGTGGTTTGTGTACTGTTGTTTGTCTGTTTGTCTGTTTCTTTTTAGCCATGGCGTTGTCAGTTTATTTTCGACTTATGAGTTTGAATGTCCCGTTGGTATATTGCGCATCTTTTTTAGATGTTAAAAGTAGAATTTGCGTATTCAAAGGTAATAAGGTTTATGATTTATTTGTAAAAAACATGTCAAATGCAAAACAAAAGCAAATGTATGAGAAAATTTTGTGATGCTCTGATCAGCAATTGCACTACAATACCGACTACTGGAAATAATTTCTATATTTTAATTAATTCTATATTGCAGGTTTAAAATAAAGCAATTAAAAAAAAAAAAAAAAAACAGAAATGAATTCAGACGATGACGATGATGATCTCGTACTGCAATGTCTATACGATGAATTTACATTGCTTGAAGTGGTTATGGAAGGTGACTTCGAAAGTGTACAGAGCATACTTGATGATAACCCTACAGTTGATGAATTGAATGAAAGGGACAGGACAGGAAAGGTATGCATATCTTTTATTCCTTTGGTTGGTAATTACTACATCCGTAACATATTATGTTGTTAGGAACGTTAAAGGAACTAGTTTGTACGTCTGTCTGTTCCAACAAAAAATAATTTGTTCAGATTTAAACTACTCAAATATACATGACATTTGTGCTGGTATGAATATAAAGAGACACCCTTGTTTTTTATCAATCGAAGTTATTCACTTTAAATGATTAATAATGACGATAACATCCCCCCTACATACATACTACATAAGATATGATATGATTTCCGTGCGCACAACACATCTTTTTAGAGTAACCTTCATCAATTACCCCTGTTACCATAAGTTTGAAACAAATCAAACACGAAAAAACACAAACAGAAGTTAAACAGGGCGGTCTTAGGATAACTGTGTCCGAGAAATTTGCAACCTTTTTTAGGGGATTTGAGATATTGTGGTCCGATATTTCCAATCCTGTACCATGCTCTGCCGCATGTATTTTTTAAAAGAATTATTCTCTGCGTCTGTCTGTCCAAGCGCAATTCTTCCTAAATAAATAGCAAGTAGGCAGGTATGAGTATGGTAAGATCTTTCCAGTGTTTATAACTTGTTGGATCAATCGAAGTAGTCACAATGAATTGTTAATATTTTGTATATCAGAAACACGACTAAATCCTCAAACATGCTTCGCAGAATGCAGAATGTTTGCAAACAATATCATTTGTTTACCAGTCGCAAAAGAGATGTTTATGAAGTGACCTTAATGATGTACCCCCAAGATCACAAGTTTGAAAAGTCCAAATGATGAAAAATGAGAAGTCACGAAAAGGACTTAACTATTGAAGCAGCATTATGATAGCTATGTCTTAAGGATTTGAAACCTTAGCTTCATTGTTATCACTTATTTTGATATCAAACTTAAACTCGATTTTGCTTGCATCAACTAAATACTGAAGCTTTTGCTACTCAGTGGATAGTCCCTCATGACCTATCCATGTCCAGTTGTAGTAAAACATATAAGATTGTCGTGTGTAAAGTAGGTGCTTCACAAGGTACGCTAAATGCCAAATTTCCAAAAGCAATATGTATCAAGGAACTGATTCATGTCAATGGAACACTAACAACCGTGGACTATCTACTATGGCTGAGGACAATGCAGCCTATATTTAATATCAATGAAGCATTTCTTTGGTGCATACATAGAAGGAGACGTTTACCCTGTCGACAGAAACGTTTTTTTTTATTATAGTTCATGCGATTCCCCCAGTTTTTGGTTTGTTATGTTCATTTGTCTTCTTAATCGATTTATGATATTAGTTCATCGGTAAACCACTATTGCCTCAATTTACAAAGAAAAAGAATCAGTTGAACTGCACAAATACCACAGCACTGATACATGGCTGATGATCCTCTGGAGATTTGATAGTTCATGAGCAGAGGGTGCTGATAAAGTTGTAGTAAAAAACTATATGAATTCTAAACACATCGGTACGTTAGAGACCAAACGTTTACCGATTTAAAAAAAAACATGAAAAGTTGGTGAAAACAAAACCAATAGTGCATAAGCAGAAAAAAAATCATAAAAAAACAAACAGGCAGAGCTTGCAAAATAGTCTCTTATGTACTATTTTACCGGCTAAAGCAAAATAGCCTTCTTAGCCGGCAAAGTAGCGATTTATAAAGAGTTTTGTTATTTTACTGGTTTTGAATCGGTATCTTAATTAAGAATAAAAAGAAATATAGAAACATACTCCTTAATAAGAAATCTCTAAAGATATGTCTTCTTTAAAAATTGTATACATAAACAAAGCAAGCATATTAAAATTAAAATTCTAGTTAAAAACAAAAGTTATGAAATTACATAAAATAGAGAATGGAAATGGGGAATGTGTCAAAGAGACAACAACCCGATCAAAGAGTAAAAAAACACAGCCGAAGGCCACCAATGGGTCATCAACACAGCGAGAAAATCCCGCACCCGGAGGCGGACTTCAGCTGGCCACTAAAAGTTGCTTTTCATACTCTTTAATAAAAAAGTCTCTAAAAAATATGTTTTTTTTTTAAATATAATGCATAAGCATATTATATGTTAATCTGAAATGAGTGTATGTATAGTAATGAAAGTATATAGCTCTTGAAGTAAAACAGACATCATTAGATTAAAACACAGAAAGTGCGAATTTCTGCATTTAAAATTATTTGGGAACCATCTGAGCTTTATATTCATTTAATAATAATTTGGTGTCATGTGTGTTCGCGATAATATATTTTGAGTTGTTCAAGTTCAAGATCTCGTGAACTGAAACTGTTTTGAGAACGCCGATCCCACGCACTACTTTTGGTCTTAAATTGAATAAGTCATTGTACTATATATAAACTGTAAATGTTTATCCCGACATTTCTATTTCCTGAATATAAATTCTTAGAAGTCATTTACGATCTTGTTGAATCATCTTTACTTTCTCGTTATGTAGGCTTCTTTCGACGATTATCGAAATGCTAATTAACACCGAGTAATTTTCAAGAGTACTTACAATTCATTAAATGATGGCTTAGTTTTACAATTTACAGGCGAAGTGCAGACACACTGTTGTAATCTCAACGACACGATAATGCGCTTATCTAAAGTAAGAACTTGAATTCTCTCAGTAAAAAGACATCTATAAAAATGAGATTCATGTATCTTTATGTTATAATGTCGAACATAATGTATGGATAATAATTAAAAGGAAAAAAAACCATTTTTTTTGCAATTGTAAAAGATTAGAGCAGGAAGTAAAAAATAATATATGTTTCAGAAATCACAACTTCAAGTTATGAAAAAGTGAGGCGAAATATACCAGAAAGGATAATCAAACTCATCAGTCTGAACAAACTGAAAATGACAAAAACGGAAAAAAATCATAGACAAACAGCAGTATACCAAACACAACATAGAAAACATGTCGGTCTATTGTTATTTTTAATACACCTGGGCTACATGGGTTTATCTGAATGCGATTATTAACGTATATAAACAGTAGAATTATGCAAATTATGCTACTTTCTTATTATTGCTTAGAATTGCACGGTTTTACTAATGAGCATTTGATGTCTAGACTGGTTATCTAAAACATTGTAAAACATGATTAGCATGCATTAACCCTTATAAAATATAACACCCATAACAATTAACTTTTGCTCATATATCTCTTCACATGTTTCAGTACTTAAACATCATTTGCTCTCGGGTATTTGGAATCGGGCGTTCCTGATGAAGATAAACCCAGTTAACGCTTCGAACGCATACAATTTATAAATTGTTATTATCATTTCTTACTTACAAAATCTATTTGAACTTTGTCTAGAATACACTTTCGTTAAGTTCAAGTGGTCATTGCCTAAAACTGTTTGACTATGGTTAAGCCTACAACTTGTTTATAGATAATAAACTATGATACCCTACATACTAACTTTCCATTTTTAACACCTACAATGTCTTAAAATATATCCTCCTAAATAAAATTTCTTAGGTAGCATAATCGTTTATATTTTCTTGCATAATCTCTTTTCAATCGTTATTTTGACTTTAAATTACGCTGGATAATGTTCCAGAATACTAACAGGTTATTAAATGATGGCTCAGGGTTACAAATTACTGGAGTAGCTCAGACAATGGTGTAATCTTAACGACACAATAAAGCGTCGATGATTAATGTCCTTTACGGTTCTTATGAACTTAAATGTTTGGCTTGCGATAATGTAGATGAATTTTTATTGCATGGCTGTCGATATTATAACTTTTTTTGTACCAAAGCCGAGAGAAGCTACCATGGTGTCAACCCAAGTTTTTAATATACAATTGAGATCAGTTCTAACTTCTCTTAGGAACTGCCAGAATATCTGTTAAACATTGTATAAATGTATACAAACAGTTCTAGAACTTTGTATAAACAGTTCTGGAACATTTATACAAACAGTCCTAGAACATTTATACAAACAGTTCTAGAACATTTATACACACATTTCTAGTACAGTTATACACGAGAACAGTTCTACACATGGATCATCTCTAGGGTGGAACTTCTTAATTTGTTTATTATATTTGTCTTAATATTTTCTAGAACTGTAAGGATCTGTTCCAGAGTAGACCAGAATTCTCAATGACGTAAACAATTAGGTACTGGCATGAAAATACAGATATTACGTTATCAAAATTTATTCCTATAAACATTTTGGAAATTATTTCAAATAAAAGAATAAATCTCTCTCATGCGAAACTCTGATTCCTTGCCCAGCTTTGGCTATATGCATTGTCCATTTTGGTTTATAAGCTCTTCATTTTTAAAGTAAGTTTTGGATTTTCAAATATTTTGGCCTTGGGCATCACTGAAGAGACATTTGGTGCCGGTATGTTCCAATTTTCGAAACCATAACCCCTTCCTCTTCTCCTCGAATGTGACCTTCCTAATTACACTAATCATCGGATTTGAACGTATATGAGCAACACGACGGGTTCCACTTGTGGAGCAGGATTTGTTTAACCTTCCTGAGCACCTGAAATAAATCCCAGTTTTTGGTGGGGTGCGTGTTGCTCAGTCTTCAGTTTTCTATGTTGTGTTTTGTATACTGTTATTTGTCTTTTGATTGTGTTTTTTTTTTGCACTGGCATTGTCAGTTTATTCTCGACTTAAAAGTTTAAATATCCCTTTGTAATCGTTCGCCTCTCCGTTAAAACAGCTTTCTGATCGTCATTGTTATTCTGATTTTAAGTGGACAATTTCATTTAATATCCGAAAAAGAGGGGGATGGTTTTTTCTGAGGGTATCGAAAATCATTTCTAAGGGGTACCATTTGGCTCATAATATATTGGAAAGGTACACATTATGTTTTGTTTCTGAGGGGTCTTTTCTTGTCTAAGAGTGAGGGGTTGATGGCACGATTTGGCATCTGAGGGATTGAAATTTGCCTGTAAACGTTTTTAAGGGGGTCTTTGACAAGGTAATCACTCACCCCTGTTCAATAATAAAAGG